TTAATATAAATTACCACATTTGAGATGACTCTGATGTCCTTGAGGCCAGATGTCACTGACTGATTTACAGCTTCCTGGGGGGAGGAGGAGATCCTGTTTTGTCAATGTAGGCACCAAATTGCTGCAGATAGCTATTTTGGACTAGATTAATTACTAATGTATTGTCAACAAAGTCGATTCACATCTCAGCTCAGGAACATGGAAAACTCTCTTTAAAACATATTAAATTAGATTTTGAAATGCAGGAAAAAGAGCATAAAGCCTACCTTTGACTCACTGAACTTCTGTCTCATTTACGAATAGTGTTTTGAAAACTCCTGCCCAGGAACATGCACACAGAATTTCCATGTGCATCATTAGCAACTCGGGAACATAATTCAGAGGCAGAGTTTTAGGCTCTCATTGATCTTAATTCTACTTTTAATATTAATAAAATTGCGTACTGCGAAGGTGTTTAGAAGGAAGCTCTGCCATCTTTGTCGCACCACAGAGATCAGATAATCTGGATTAAGCTTTTGTGTGCTTCCTAAAATCCTTGTGTAAAGTGTTGCTGCAAAATAGGATGGCCAATGTATTTGTAGAGGTACCAGCAGCCTCCCAGGAGCCTCCTGTGGGAACGCTGGTGGGCGACGCCTCAGCAGGCAGGTGGGGTGGGTTTGTTGTGTTTGCATATGCTGGCAGGTTAAAGAGGAAGGATAAAAAAAGGCTGCCTGGTTTGAGTCAGTGCATCTCTATCCATTATGTATTCATTCAAATCCAACCACATGAAATGCAGGCACCTAACAAACCATCTCTTGTAAAACGCCTTTTATTCCAGCCGCTGAAATTCAGCATGTTTGTAGGTCCATGGCTGGGCATGCTCAGCATAAATAGCAAACTAATGTAAATCCTGTGTTACAGAGTTTGTTTGATAGCAAATCTCACATATATATGAGAGAAATCTGTGGAGGTTTCTGGTAGCACAAGGTCCTGTGGCCTACAACTAGAAACTACGCAGGTGATATGAATACAGAGAATAACACACAAAGAACTTTCTTGTAAAAATGCATCTGCCATTCATATAGAATCAAATCCATATCCATGGAAAGGCTTTGAAAGATGTTGCGAGGCTTTAGAAACGGCCCATGCTGAACATGGGATATTTTTTTTTCAGTTCTTATAAGTAATTATTTTCCTATGTTTGGTAAGATTAACTGCAGAGAATTTATGTTAAGACTGTGTGGAAAGGAGTACAGAATTTCTGATAATATTAAGCTGAAAAGGTGGTTTCAAAATGTTTCTGTGATACAAAAGCCATGTATTAAAGAGGCAAATACACCACCCCCTCAGTCTCTTTCCTCGTTTATGAAATAAGTAAACATAAACTCTAAATTCTCATTTTCAGCAAGTATGTTAGTAAATCCAAACTGACCTTGACCTTAGCTTTGCTAATTTCCAAACTCTGATATTTATTCCTGGAGGAGATTGTTTCCCTTCATACCACGTACATAAATACTGCAAACCTTTCCAATGACTTGAATTAGAGTGTAAGTAAATAGCTGGGTTTAATCTACATAATATTTTGAGAACAGACGTTCTGTGCTATGACTATTAAGATATACCCAGCAGCCATTTCTATAATACTGAAACCTCTTATATATATTATTAAAAGTAATGCTATCAGCCAGGGCTTGTTTTATGCCACAGAAACTTAAATAATAAAACACAGCATGGATAAAATCTGCAATAATAGTAACTTAAGCAAAATTAATTTAAGTAACAGATAACATCTGGGGGGAAATGTAATGGTGTATTGGTAAGTTATGCAAAGCTAATTTTATAATAACTACCACATCTGTGGAACTCATCTATTAGAATGCTTTACCAATCTTCTTTCCTGCCATTATCCTGTTTTAGAAATTTTCCTGTGTACTATGTTATTGTCTTTTCTCTGCCTACGTTTGTAAAAAGGCAATTTGCTAGGGGTGAACAACAAGAAAAGTATGTGGGTTTAAGTGCAGAACAGCACTACGCTTTTTATACTTCGATCTCTTTCTGCACACTTGTACTAGAAAGAATTCCAGAGCGGAATTGTGACATGGGGCTGTCCACGGAGAGCAGTGTCTGCAGTTCTCAGCTGGCCTGATATAACTGGGGTGGGAAAGTGTGACGCTGACAGAGACTTCCCAACCAACCTCTGCTGGGTGTCAGCTCAGCCTCCAGCCTGCTCCAACTTGCCTGGGTTCAAGTGGCCTTTTGGCACCCCACCACACCCAGGAATTAGTAGGAATATTGCACTTAATTCTCCCTCCAGCTCCTTCAGAGCAGCTGACACTGATATGCCAGCTACATTTGTGCAACTGCTTCACAATTCCTTTGTGTCTGAATTCCCGTGGACCCACCGGACCACAGTGTGCAGGAAAATATTGCCAATTAATTTTAAGGCATTATCATCTTGCCAAACTGTTTCTCACATTTCGATAGTTATATTGATTCAAGGGGACACTTTGAGTAATACATCTTTGTCATAGTGAATAATGCTCACATAATGACAAATATTCAGGAATTAAAAAAAAGGAGGATGAAGTTTTTAATGTAGGTCAGTGGAAGTAATTCACCATAAATTTACTCAGACTTCAGAAACCAGCAGCTTTTTTTTTAAAGCCACTGTAACTGTATAAAACTTACTGTGTCTCCTTCTCTGTTTTTAAATAGATTTTACTACAGAGCCATTGGTGCTATTAAACATGAGGTTTTGTTCAAAGGAAACACAAAGACTTAATTGTGTTTTTTAAAGGAAAGTATTGCATCAGAAGGACTCATTTAAATACGTTTGTTGGCTTCGGGCTCTCACCACAATTCATTTGTTCTAATTTTCCCCTGGACTTGTTAAGGACACAATGTATAGGAAGGAGCAATGCAGAATGGCATTTTTAGGTCACTATATTTTGGCTGTAAACTGTAGTGCTGCTCATAAACTTATTACTAAACAAAATGCTTCATATTCTACATTGAAGTTGCACAGTCTTTTAAAAAAACTTTTGGCTGAATGTTGGGACTATTATGGCTCATTAAAGAGACTAGTTCTGCTGTAATTTAGTTATTTCTTAATGATCCAAGGGTTATTATTAGACATGGAACAGATGAGTAAAGAATGGCTCTCTGTAAAAAGACGCAGTGAAGTAAAAATATTATTCTAAAAAAACAGAAAATCTAATCCATGCTACAAAAACGTATTTGATCAGCTTGGAACTGATTCTAAAAACCAGGTCTTTTTTTTTTTTTTTTTTTTTTTTTTTTTTTTTTTTTTTTTTTTTTTTTTTTTTTTTTTTTAAATTTGGACCAGGGGGAATAAACAGAATAATGATTTAGTCTAAATTAAGAAAATATTTTGAGTGAATAGGTAACTAACTAACCAAAAAATACTGCTTTAAGGAAGCAGAAACTAATTGTGAATTCTGATCCAGTTCAGCTAATATTTTAATAAGAAAATGTAAGGTAAGAAATCAGAGAAAATGAATATAGCTGCTAAATCAAAAAAGCTCTAGTTTAAAAAAATAGACTTTGAAAACAAAACATCCTTTTATTTTAGCAAAAATACAGTTTAGCTCATCTTTTTCATTTTGATGCAAACCCCAAACTTCCTGGCTATTCCTTTTGTGGGCACTAATACAGTGCTGAAAATTTCAATTTCAAGCAGTGGAGGAAAATGCTTCTATAAATCTATTTTTCTCCTCACTTATTATCTGCAAATATTTCTGTCAGCCTTTTGGGTTCTTATAAACATGGGCTGATACTGTCTGCCTTTTTTATCAAGCTCACACATGACAGGGAATCTTGAAGATAGTAACAATGTCCAAACAGAAGGTCTGAAAAGCTTTTAGGACTACAAAAGAGATTTTTAATGTAATAAAGTGGCTAGGTCTCACTTTTTATTTTCAATTTTTGCTGTCACTTCTGTAGATGTATAGAATCTTTAATATTTTCAGCATATGTAACTGTATCAAGTCACTAAATAAACCAAATATCAACCTAGCCACGATTTCAAAAGCATGAGGAAATTAATTTATGGGAGCTGCAATTACCCTGATGTGAATTAATGTCGTTTACTTACACCATCCAAGCAAAATCCTGTTTGTAATCGCTGACTCAGAACTGGAACATCTGCCTCGTATTCTCGATGGGCACTTCCCCTTGCAGAGGCCCCAAACGCACAATTTCAGTGTTCCTTGCTTGTTCAGAAATGCCTTTTTTCGCCCTATTTGGCACATATGTTCTCTGTCATCCTTTTTTTTTTTTTTTTCTAAAATAGGACACAGAACCTTGTCCCTTTAGAGGACGCAGGGCTGCCTTCTGCATCATTCCTGAGAACCTGAGTGTGCACAAGGTTCTTCATCCAGCTGCTGTGAGGGGGAAAAGCCATTGTCCCTGAGCATTGCTGGAGCTGCAGCTCACACACCAGCACAGCACCAGTGAGGGTCCCATGTTCCCAGCAAAGGAGCCAGTCGATGAAGCAGCAATACTCGGACCATTAGCGACTCTTAAATTATAGTCACATATAAAAACATTTTTCTTAGGGCCTTATTTGATGCAGTGTCACTACAACTTTACTCCAGCTGACTCCCTTGGTACGGCCCTGCAATTCCAAACTGCAGCAAGATCCCCGTTCAGAGGTGACAAATTTGCACTGGGGAGACAGCACGTTACCTAAGCACAGTGTTTTCTAAACGTAATTATCCACATGAGTAAGAAGCTGTAGTGTTATGAAATTATGAAAATCATCTGTTCTTTCCAAGTATTATAAAGAGGGCCCCTTGAGAGGCAGCTAGAAATTAAAGCTGATCTATAATCATTTTCACAATGCTTTCCAGTTCTGAGCACCTGGATAGTAACAGAAAAGGTATTGTTTTTTGTTGTTTGCCAGCCATTTCATTTCCATTTTAAAAAAAATCTGCAAGAAACCTCTGAGTAATGATTAAACCTGAATTACTCTTTTTATTTTTTCTTTTTTTTTTTCCTAGCAGCAGCAGGATGTGATTGAACTTGACCAACCTGAAGTTCCCTCCTCAGCTGCAGCGACAGAATCTCAGGTATGGAGTTTTGTTCCTTTTAATTTATTGTAGGGTTTTTGTGAGCTATTTTCCTATGAATTCCCATTGGAGCCCAGTCACTGATGACATTTATTCCCCAGAATATGACATGCATTCTCTTCTAAGATTGAATGAAATTACTTTTAATGCATTAATCAGTCAGCTGAGGACTTTTATTTGAGTCGTCACCTCTGGGCTCTTGCCCCTTCTAACTTCATGGCCTCAGGACCTCTCTGCCAACCTGGGCAGTGCAAGACCAGCAACACTGCTGGTCCCTGTCAGAGCAGCACTTCCCCAAATCAGCTCCCTGTATTGTTGCATGCCTTTGGCTGGTGCTGTTTGGTCTCGTGGAGGGCAGGATGATGTTCTAACTTGCGTATTTCTTGTTGGTGGTCGCTGCCAGGGGTCTGATCAGGAGGATTACCTGGAAGAGTCCTCCGAGGCAGATGCTGTGGCGGGTGTCACTGCTGAAGATCAGAAGTCTGCAGAGTGTGAAATCCCAAATGAAATTATTGGCAACCTTGAGGTACTATTACTAGAAAGCTATTCACTAATTCTGTCTATGGTTAATTAGCTAGCTCAGCCTTAATGAATATAAACTGTATTTGTGCTAAAGCTGGCAAAAAGCACATCCATATGCTGTAAAAATGTGAATTAGCCTCTATAAATAACTCCTAGTTTAGTCAGCTTACGTGTGATAAGATAAAAAATATTCAGTAATATAACAACATATATCTTCAGCATTACTATGTGTCAAGAAACACAGACCAAATCCTGCTCTCAGTGATGTCAGTGATAAAATTCCTTCTCAGGGGTTCAGGACCAGCTGCTGTGATGGAGTACATGCAATGTGTGCTTAATATAAATTGTTTGATGCATCTGTGATACACGTCCTTCAATCTGTGGAAGAAATAACAGGTTTATGCCAATTTGAGGCTTTGTTTGTTCGGTGCGTGACTGTCCAAGAGCTGCCTCAATGGAACACATCAGGTGACAGTATGGGGGCTACAGACACTGAGGGGTCCATGATTTCTTTCTGTGGGGTTCATGAAAGGAAAGGAAGCTATTGACACTGGACTTAAGTAAGAAATTATTGAAAATAAACCAGCTAGAACGGAGTTCCACCAAGAAACTGCTGGAATTTGGTCTTATTTGCAACAACCAGGTGGCACTTAGAACTTTAGATACAGCACATCAGACACTATTGACCAAGCAGCACTTTAATAAATATCTAATATTGTCTGAAAATAGTGTGATGTTGATAAATTCTTTTACATGGACTACACATGAATGGTGAATATAAATTAGAATAATAATGCCATCATTAGATGTATCTATTTGATTTCATACTCCATTTCAACATTTCAAACATGTCTTTGGAAACAGGAGGGAATCCCTGGCGTATGTTGTCTTATTCCTGTCCCTAACTGTAGAAAAAAAAAAAAAATCCTGGTTTTCGCTACACCATCAGTGTCAGTGCTAAGAGTTTTTCCTTTACAAAACCTGCACAGATGAGAGAAAGGCTTTATTTTTTTCTTCTTTTGCAACTCTGGGTGTATACACAAAGAATGATTTCCCTTCAGTTGTTAAGTCTTTCACAAGTATATCTTTCCCACCTGTTTTCTCAGTTTCGTGACCTCAGAAGTCATCCTATAATGAGATTTTTACCTGATCCATGATCAAACTCATACAATTTTTTCGTTATGTGTGGACTGTGGTTTCACAATCTGCATTGTGTCTTAACACATGCATTAACAAGGCAGCTGTTGCTCTAATTGATGCTAGAAAATAACTTTTATTGGGATATCACTCAGTGGTCTCAGCAGCAGCCATAGTGAAGGAGGATAGAAGAGGATTAGCCTAAGGGTCAGTGTTCCACAGCAAAACAACTTAATATACACACATAATGTGAAGGGGTGAGGACATATTTGGTGATACTTGAGGCTGGGTTGACTATAGTGACGGTCATCTGCAAAGGTACAGAACTGGGAGAGAAATTCCAGCCTTTTGGTTCCCAGCTGAGGTACTGTGAACTTTGAAAACATTTTAGCTGTGGTTATCCATTGATTGCAGAATAGCGCTGGTAGGGATTTCTAGGACTGACAAGACACAAAGTTCTTAAAATGTCACGTGTTTCTGGGACAAACCCATTTGCTTTATCAAAATTGCCTGAATTCCATTAAGAATGCAACTCTAAGTTTTGGGATAATTTATGCAGAGTTTGTAAAGGACCTCTGAGCCTGTTCCACTTGTTTGAGCAAAACTTTGTGACTCTTAAAGTCATTGCAGTCCTTCCGTCTCTCTTGTATTTTTGGAGTAGTGACTGTTGATATTGAGAAATATATGTAAATTACCTATAAACCTCCAGTATTTGTGGCCCTTTATCCAGTGATCCCACATTTCCAAATGCCATAGAATCAGAGATTTCTACACATTATCACTGCCAAAGATTTTACTAAAATATGTCCCAGCCCTTGTACCTTCCCCACAAATGCTACATTCCAAATTAAATGCTCAGTGTCTGCAGCAGTCTGGATTTCCAGAATGAGATACACATTCATAATTGTGCTGGTAATTAAGACAGACAAGCAGCATCACAGAAGTATGTTTTTTTTTATTGTTCATTTTCAGTAATGCTTTCTAATTCCAGCAATGTTTCAATAAAACACATTACACTAGAGAACAAACATCTGCAGCAAAGGAAAACAGTGGCAACAACCAAATCCCAAAGCAATTTTTCTGGTTTGGTGTATATTGGTAAAGGCTGTCTGAGAACACAGGCAAATTATCCTATCTCCCAAGACAAGGTTACGTGAGGAATGGCTGTCCCAGATCCCTTCCTGCTGATGGCAGCCATGCCACACATCGGAATCGTGCACGGCAATACGATAACGTGTTATCACATAAGTCCAGGCTGGAACACCGTTCTGTCTGCAAAACAGGAAGGTGTGTAGGATAATGTCTGCCTTGCTGCACTACAGTGTGTCAAAACCACAAAGACAATGTGCAGCCCAAGATAGCTCCATCATAACCACTTCTTTCTTCTGATTTTCTTTGCAGGCAGACATAAATGAAAAGCTGGAAATGCAGGAAGAAGCTTAGACTCAGAGAACAGAAAAATTAAAAACTCCTAAATAGCCAGATAAGAAAGGTGATGCTGGATTTCACAGGAATGGGGCAGTAGGGGATGGCACACACAGAGCTGGCTCCCTGCCTGAACATAATTATTTCTGTATAAAGGAAAGTGGTTCTGTTAACGTTTACCTAGAAGTAGTTCATCCCAGTTCCTCAAATTCACTGTGTTCTGCCAGCGTTGTTGTTTAGTTTAGGCTTAAGTTGAAGATTATAAACAGAAGGACACATAATTAAAACATGTCGAAGTTCAGTTTATTTCTGAATAGAAATCCTAGCTTAAAAAAAAAAAATCGTTGAAGTTTCATTCTCTTTCCTTCTTCCAGTTGTGAAATATTTAACAGTTTCTGCTTTACACCCATGGTTTTTTTCAAGAAATGTTGCTACAAGGAGAATACATAGAGAGGAAACATCATTTTGAGGCACTGCAGATATAATAAGGAGGGAATTTAATTAACATGTAATTACACACTTTTCACTGTAGCTATTCTTTAATAATATGTATGTTATTTAATTTTAATTTGCTTCCTAAGCTTTAAAACACACTTAATAGCTTACACTTCTTTCTTTCTACCATGTTAAATTGAATAAATAAAGAGTTTGCACTTCAGTATTCCTTTAGATTTCAGTGGAATTTTTTCTGGAATGCATGTAACCTTTCATCTGAGAATGTTTCCATATTTTTTCCAGACATTAGAGAAATGTTTCATACTCAAAAGGAATTCAACCAAATAAATGACCTCAGAAGAACCGGTTTAACATCTATGTTGCAGAACTGTAGCCTGTATTTATTGTGTCACAGAACTCTGTGCCCTAGAAAGCATGTGAAGTACAAGTCATGCTTTGAAGTGTAAAGGCTGGATTGGATTACATGTTTAGTGGAATATTTGAGAAATGGAGTGTTTTATTCATTACATTTTCATATTTGTCTCCCACTCAGTAAAAAGTTAGTTTTTGTTTCATTTCATCCCTGTTTTTTTGATGCTGGTAAATAAAAAAAAAAAAAAAAAAATTGGCAAACCTGACTCAGCCCAATCAAAAGAAAAAAAGTGGCTTGTAACAGATGAGGGCTCTGAGCTCCTGTAACGCAATGGTTTGGTGTTCGAAGTGAACAGAGTATTTTTCTGGGTCTCTGGGCACTGAGAGAGATTCTTCCCCTGGTGGCTGATAAGGAAAAGTGAGCTCTTAAACGATTCACTTCCAAGTTTTCTTGGTTGCTCTTTCCAGTGCTGGCCAGGAAATTACTGTGAGCTTCCTTTCGGCTATTAACAGCTAACTGTTCTGCTTTGAACAATGAAGGAATTCCTGAATCATTATTAGTTTTACCTTTAAAAAAATATTTTGATTCCTGGTTATGTTCTTTTGTTGTTTTATTGCTATGAAATACAACTTTTTTTGCTATCAAAACTTTCTGAAATCAAAATGTCCTTTACTTTGATACATAAATCCACCTCCCAGCACACTATGCTAATGTCACTGCTTCCCTGGTTTTGAACTCAAAGGTGAGAACAGAACTTTTGAAGAGAGCTGTCCATATGACAAAGAGTATTTTAAATACTTTTTAGTGAAAATGTGTTATTGGCAATTTAGCATTGTTTAGCACTTCAGACCTAAATCTGAGGACTGCAGCATTCCTGCTGTAGCACTAAGCAGAAAGGGAATAGCTGTGATTTATGTTAAGACCAATTGTAAACAAAGGCTTTTGCCCATAGCTCTTTCTCTCTCTCTCTCTCCCAGATTTTGTAGAACCTCTGGGAAATTTTAAAGTGCTTTGAAGATGAGAAATTGTATATGAACATCAAGTAATACTGTGATGATTTGTTAGCAGTCAGTACATATGCATAACAGCTGAGGTAGTGCAGAAATCCAAAGTGGAGTCCAAATCCCACAAACTGTATTTGTAACCATCTTTCTGCTGAACTAAATAATGGTACCAATAAAAAATAGCCCCTGGGATTTTTTAGGAGTGGGAAGGAGGATGGTGAGGAGGCTGAAGGAGGGAGGATGAGTAGAAGGTAGACGTAGCATCTCTCTAAGCAGTCGGAGTGCATATTCTGACACAGCATATGAACATTGAGTTGAAGAATCCTTTAATGTCTTCAGAATGTTAATATGAAATGCAAAACGTCATGCTTTGGATAGATGGGTAGGAACAAAATGTTCAGATGCAATATGGTGCATTAAGAACAGTCTCCATTCTGCATTCCTGGCTTTTCCATTGGTTTAAATCAGGCTTGCTGTTTCTCCAACCTCTCGTGTCATGTTGAGTTACTGCTGTAGTCATCTCTAAAAATAATTATGCTGTCATTCCTGGGACCTACAGTGGAGGCTTTGGTATAACAATCTCTGGTTATTTTTTTTTTTTCCACACTGTTGATGTAACAAAGTTCTTCACAATGCACATACAGAGCATAGTTCCTAACGGGTTCCCACCCTGCAGAGCTCTCAATTTAAATCAGATCTTGTAGAAATGAAAGGAAGAGGTGTCATGTTCTACCTTCTCTGCCAAAGAAGTGATGGTTTTCCAGGGGTCAGAAGACAGAAGAAACAGTATATTTTCTCCTATATAAGGTATAATATCGATGCTTTTTTGCAATTTCATGGCAAAATACTGGTCTTTACTAACATTTTATAATGAGACAGTGAACAACTAGTAATTATCCTCTAGTAAAAGAAAAACTCTATTTTCAGGCTGTGCTTTTCTGCTTTATACTGACAGAGTGATGGAAGCTTAGATGGAAAGCAGGTTTTCTAGTAAGTAGCTGGCTTGAAAGTGTTGAGAAAGGAAACAAAAAAAGAAAACAGTTTTTTACCTGTTTCGTAGTATTTTGTCATGACCTTTTCTTCTCAAGCCTTGCTTTTCTTTGGTGCCAAAACTTGATTTGAATTTGAAAATTACCACATTGTTTCCTTCCTAAAATTGTAACTGGCATTCCAAGAAAATTTGCTTTCCCAGAAAAGCCACTGTGCGTAGGCTTCAAATTCAGCTTTTCGCAAGTGAGAAAAAGACATTTTCTTCAATAACCTACACTGCCAACCTGACCATAAAACATGGGCATAGTCAGCGCTGGCCTGTTTAAATCAGGCTCCTCAGCAATGATTTGGCTGAGTTCAGCATCACCCAAATGCATCTCTCCAGGTGTACCTGTTGCACTTACCTGAACAGCTTCTGGAGCACCTCCGCTCCTCTGCCATCCCTCACAAGGAGGTGACAGCAGTGACCAAGCACAGGCAACTCAAAACTGAAGCCAGCATTTCAGCCCGTTTTGTTGTAGCCCTTTGATTGTGCAGAGCAAGCTCTGGGCTCCAGCAGTTGAAGATTCAGATCACATGTACCAAAAAAAAAAGAAAATAATCAAAGGATAGTTGCAGTGACTCATGTAATTGAGAGTCCCATTCAGATGCAGAGCATTAAGCAGGACATAGAATTAGTAATGCTGCAGAAAGAATGGAATGTAATATATTTGCAGGGTAGAAACAACCTGACATTTTACATAGTGGACTGCTTTACAGCACAGTGGTGCTGCTTTAAAGCCCAGGCTGGCACTGACTCAACAGAGTGTACATTAAACGGGAGGTTTGTTCTTGCAGAATTCAGGTTGCCTGGACCTGCTGGGACTTGTGTGTATTTTGAATATATTTTCGAGTGTTTCTGCAGCTGATTCAAAGAACAAAAAAGGAAAAGGTGAGTTGCTACAAGCACCCCAACCAGGTGGGATAAGGGGAACAAGAGGAGAGACCTGTGGCCTGACAGCAGTAAACTGGGAGGAACAATGGTCCAAAAAATTATTCACCTAAATGAGTATGGTACTTCCCTGTTTCTGGAAGAAGGCTAGTGGAGCTGTATCAGTTCGGGATGCTGTTGTGGGTGGTGATTCATGGCAGGAGCCTCTGCAGGTTGGTTGAAGCACCTTTTAGGTGAGTCCATTCCTCCAGTGGCTGCAAAGATGGCCTCAGGATTTTGCCTCCCTTCACTGAGGTTGGTCTACATGAATATTTTGAGTTTTAATTTATCTCCTTTTAGCCCTTTCTGAAGAGATCTCATGCAACATTTTCTTGACATTTTAGTATCATGTATTTAAAACTCCAGCCAAGACAATTTTCTTGTCTAGTTTTATGATTGCATTGATTGTAGCACAAGAAATGTCATGTCTGGAAAGAGCAGAATCCAAGGGTCCTTCTTTTGGCACTGGCTATGGGAGAAGCTTAGGGAAGAGTATAGGAGAAGGGCATCCTATTCCAGTGGATGAAGGCACACCCTTCCATGGATTGGTGCTTCAGAAACTTGTGGAAGCAAAGTGTGCACCCAGACTCTGTGGTAGTTGAAATCAAAGGGCATGATCTCTGTGAGTTTTTCTAGTCCTTTTTTGACCTCATTTGTGCTACCACCCAGCACACTATTCAATGGCAGCAAGTTCCACAGTGTAATTTTGTGTTGTTGATTAACCCTAGCTGCAGTGGATACTGGAGGCTCAAGTTTCCTCATCTCAGAGGCTTTCAAGATCCTCAGCTTTGTTGGTCACTTGTATATGCTTAAGGTGGAATGAGTGGGTAACCACGAAGACACTGAGTTTTCACATACAGCAAGAGCAGCTGAGATCCAGGTAAGAGAGAGCACTTGTCAGTCTCTGCAAGGCTCAGCCAGAATTTTTGCCACCTGCTCTGTTACTGTTTGTCATTTCATTCCATGCCGTATCTAACTTGGATTAATCCTCCGTAGCAGAGATGCATCATTCAGTCTTTATCTGTGTGTCAAGGGACACCCACATGGCCCTGCCTGAACAGAGAGATACTGACAAAGGGAGGAAAAATGACCATCTTTGGTCTGTCAGGCAGACAGCGAATAGTTTACTATTCTAATCATCAGAGCAAATTTCTTTGGAGCACGTAAGTCATGAATTACCACACAACTCCGAGAGGAAAACTTTGTCCTTTGATTGTTTTCCAAAGAAATGTTCCCAATTTCTTTTCTGCCAAATTCATATTACAGATCATGCTAACAAATTTTCCCAAGCCTTCTTGACCTCCTCCCTTCTTCCCAGTAGTAAAAGAAATTTCACTCATTGCAGAGAGATGTTGGAGATTGCTAAATTTTGCTGATTTAGGAACTGAGTGAATGAAACAAGCTTAAAAATATGTAGATAGGCACACTGCAGAATGCAATGGCCCCACTAATGAGGAAAATGGAACTTGTGATGTTTCTGCTGTTTGACAGCGCGTTAGTAAATGGCCTGAGAGTGTAGTAGTAGGTGGGGGCTGCAGGCACTCCCTTGTGTTGAGGGCAGAAGTGTGTGTATGGCACTGGGAGGATATTTGTTTCTCCCAGTAAATCTGCGCCTGGTCTTGCAAAAAAGACAGACAAAGTAACAGCGATGCTCTCTGCATTGCTTTGAACGAGGTGTTTTACATCGACTGGAGTTTGGGGTGCTCAGTGTTTAGTAGCACCAGTTCCTCTATTACTGACTTCATTTGCAAACAACTGAGTGGGCATGACAAGGCCCTTGGCTGAGTTAGGATTCTGGGTTGTTTTTCTGAATGAGCAAGGTGAGAGAAAACACCTCTTTACTGAACTTCCGTGCTGTTCACAATTACAGTTGTGTGTAATTGTCAAGGGGCAGTTTTGCCACTAACACCACTTTTTCACTAGAGTGGGGCTGTTTGAATAAAAGAGGGATTCAGATTTTTGTGTTGGTTTTGCTCTGAGATCATTCCATCCTTTTTTTTGAAATGTCACATTTCAACTTAACAAATGGCTGGATCATGCAGCTCCGACGCCCCAGAAACCATTTCCAGTGACATACTATAGAAGCAGGACTGATACAGATCTCTTGACTGCATTTCAAAGACATACCTTTGGATTGCGGGGTTGCAGATGAGACTTTAATTCTGTAGAACTCAGTGGAGAGATGTTCATTTGCTACCAAAGGCTCTCGCTTTAATTTTTTTATCTTCTGCTCTAATTTTCTGTGAGTAATATAGATATGGGGGCTGCTCTTCTATTGAAGTAGTCGAATCAATTATTCATGTGAATTCAGTTACTA